GGACCCTAAGAGAAGAAGAAAGAGACAAGATTTCCTGAGCAAATTGGGGGAGGGGGTAGGAGAAAAAGGAGAGAAGGAAGGAGGAGGATATGACAGAGCAGGAAGATTGAATGAGGGATGGAGCATAGAGGAGAGAAAGAAAAGAGATGCCTTACTAGAGAGAGTCATTATAGGTTTGAAGAGAAACCTGGCACTAGGGAATAGTGCAGACATCTACAAGGATGACCCCAACTAAGGATCTAAGCAATAGGGGAGAGGCTACCTTAAATGCCCTCCCCTGATAATGAGATTTATGACTACCTTATATGCCATACTAGAGCCTTCATCCAGTAGACACCCACAGTTAAGCACTAAGTCAAACTCCTGGGATCCAGTTGCAGAGATGAGCAAAGGGGTCAAGACCAGCCTGGAGAAACCCACAGAAACATCTGACCTGAGCAAAGGGGAGCTCATGGTCCCCAGACTGACAGCATAGGACTGACCCAGACCCCCTGAACGTGGGTGTCAATTCGGAGGCCTGGACAGTCTATGGGGCCTCTAGTAGTGAGTCAGTATTTATCTGTAGTGCACAAATGGACTTTGGGAGCCCATTACCCAGAGAGGAATACTCTCTCAGCCTAGACACATGGGAGATGGCCTAGGCCCTGCCCCACATGATGTGACAGACTTTGATGATCCTCCATGGAAGGCCCTGGGGAGCAGAAAGGGGATGGGATGGTGGTTGGTGGGGAGCATGGAAGGATGGGAGGGAGAGGGAACTGGGATTGATATGCAAAATAAAATCATTTCTAATATAGATTTTTTAAAAAAGAAAAAGAAAAAATATGGCTGGTGGGATTGAAGAACCAAATCTTCAGTTGTATTTCTATTTTTATTTAAATATAAATGTGTACATCACATGTGACCAGCAACAATCAAAATCCAAGCTGGTGAAAGATTAACGGCTGCCTTAGAGTGGTTGCATTTCCTGCAGTTCTAGAGTGATGGCCCCTGGTCCATGAGATTTCCCCCATTCTTTCTCACACTCGGAACTGCACAGCAAACTTTGATACAAGAAAGAAGCGAATTGGTAATTGACTCGATGGTTTCTGATACAATCCAATTTCAGGGTAGTGCCTCCTCTGGCCTCCTGGAGAGATGAGGTCCTTCCAATGAATGCTCCTCGTATAGTATCTTGCCTTCTTTTCTTTAGAGTTCCTTTTCTTCACCTGTTCATCTCATATCAGGTGAAACTGGGACTTGGCCTAGAACCAGACTAGGGTCTTACAAAAAGGCTTCTCTTTCTTGTTCCAGAAGGTGGACAGCAGGAGAGGGAGTATCACCCACCTGGACGGGTGTGTTAGACAAACTACACTCCTTTCCTTAACAGCAACTATGGAACAGCTTTGACTGCCCACTTGAATTTGGCCATGAAGGAAAACCCAAGTCCTTCAATGTCTTATACAACTTGTGTTAATAAAAAGAAAAAAAAGGTATTACTAAAGTCCAGAAAACGGCATTGTATAAACCATCTTAATCCAGATAAAAACAGCATGAGCAATTGAGCTACTCAACTATGTTGGGAGATGCCATTCTGTAAATACGTGTCTGACTGGCTTGAATAAAGCACTGTTGGCCAATAGGGAAGCAAGATAGGAGGGACTAGGAGTCAAGGAGGATTCTGGGAAAGAGAGACACAGTCAGTCACCATGTCAGACGCTGGAGAAGCAATATGGGAACCCTTCCTCTGGTAAGCAAAGACCACATGGAAATGCTCAGATTTGCAATTATGGGTTAAATACTTAAGTCAGAGCTAGCCAGTAAGAAACCAAGCAAACAGCCAGCAACTCATAATTAATACAGTGCCCTGTGTGTTATTTGAGGGCTCAGACAGCTCAGCAGGGCCCAAGTAGCTGCCGAGAAGGCTACACATTACACAACTGTATTTGCCAATGTGCCAAATGCTCAATGTTCAAGCAACTGTTTAGACCTTCAGTAACCTGTAGTAGCCTTCCATACCTGTCATGGATTGCAGACCCTGTAGGAATCATCCTCTCTCTTTCTCCCAATTCAGAACATGCCACTTGCACCCTTTCTAATCTTTCTATCTTCAACAAATGCATACTATGTACACACACAACACTCATGGGAATAAACAAGTAAATTTTCAGATAAAGTTTGCTCACAAGAAAGTTAAACTCTGGCTCAAGATCTCGAAAAGATAAATACCAAAAAAAATCTAGATATATTAAAAGGGAGTACGGATAAAAGGAAGGAATGAATGAGCACGCTCTTAAATGATGGTGCTGTGATGGCATGAAAAGGTAATCATTAACCTGAAGGAGATAAGACAGGCCACGGAAACTTTGCAAAAATAGCATGAGAGCCAAGCATTTCCTGTGTGTTCATTTCTGGTTTCTGTATCTCTAACTTGTGAAAAATACTTTTCATTTATGACTTGAGTTTGGGAAACCCATCAGATATGCAATTGGCACCTGTCGCCACCGAGTATGTGGATGACTACCCTCGTGTGAGCCTGCAGTACACAGGGTGTGGCAGGTGCTGAGAGCTTTGCTGTGTATTTTCTGTCTCCTTGGGGATGACGATCAAAGATGTCTTCATGGGCTCCTCTGGAGAGAGCTGTTCACACCACAGCCCACGTCATCGTCACACCACAGACTCATCTTCCTGCTGGAGAGGGCTAAGAAGGCAAACTCGGTCTCTTTGTTTTTGTTTAATCTAGGCAGACTTTTCAGAGCTGCTGGTGGGGATATTTTCTTTGTGTTTTCTGGGATACACACAAAATGTGTCTTCTTTCATGGATTTGGCTGAGGGGACAAAGAGGTTGGACTGTTTTAACAAATCCAACCATCACCCAACTCAAATGAAGCACAGATTGCCATCCAGGCTACATGTTATACAGAAAAGAGACAAGATTTTGCAAGTGTGTGGCTATCTATCATTCTCTGGAATTCTCAACTGTAACCCAAGTGGGTTTTTGTTGTTGTTGTTGTTTTTCTTCTCCAAACCAGAACATGACCAGGGTAGGGGTTCTGCTTGTTTTGTTTACTTCAGTGTTATAGAATGTTATTTTAAGCTGTGTTACTTTTGTTTATGCTCTGGAACATTTGTGTAATGATGCAAAGATATGTCTGATTAAATATAATTCACCTGTGGTCAGGAGGCTACATCAGTAACTAGCTGACAGGAAGTTGAAGGGAGGAGCCAGGTGGAGAAGGGTTTTTAAGGAGGGGCAAAAAAAAGCACAAGAACTGCTAGGGAGATGGGAAGAGGTGAGGGGGCTGAGCTGCTTGCTACTCAGCCTCTCTGGGAAGCAGGATTCTACCTCAACCTTTGAATCTGGAGTTCTTTAGAGGGACAGAGACTTAAATAAGTCTTCTTAGTAGCTTTGAGGGAACAGAATTCCCAGGTTGGCAGTTTCTGAGTAGGGTAGATATAGATTAAAACAACAACAACAATTAAAGAAGAAAAACACTTCAGTATCTGCAGTGTTTAGAACTGTGTTAAGTACACAGGATGTATTTATTGAATAAAGTAATAGATTTCATCCAGTAAAGCCAAACAATCAACTTCATTTGAATTCAAACTGTAACGTCATCTTTCTCTCTGCTAGTTTTGAAAAGGACAAAGAGGTAGCCTGGTGCAAGCCTGTGGCCTTCACAGTAGTTTCTGAAGAAACAAAATAGAAAAGCAGAGAAGACAGTTTCATTTCAGAACTTTGCTGGCTGATGTGCTTTGGGGTAAGCTGCAAGCCCACCCTATCCTGCTGTTTATTAGAGAAAGTTTCAAAGCAGATTCAGGATGTATGGGTGCTCCTTGGGTTTTCATGGAAGAACACTTGAAAGTGCGTCTCCTCAGTACAGAGTTAAACCAAAACACAAGGTCAAGGGAGGCAGGGTTTTAATGAAATGATCGTAGAAAAGCTCTGGCTGATGAGGCAATGGAATTAAGCCCGACCTCCGTAGCACCGTCAGCTATTTCCTATGAATGTCGTAAGTGGGTAGAGGCCATTCACTGGTGTGTGAGAAGTAAGCCTGCAGTCAGATGGCTAGGAAATATTGGGATTCTGTTTGTATTCCTATTGAGCCTTCTCTAAAAAAAATCTGGGCATGTGGTTGCCTTTACAGCTATCCATGTTACGCTAACATGCATGGTTCTCTATAGGGTTATAGTTAGTTTGGTTAGTGAACAGTTAGTTTGGATGAGCAAAAATTCACCAGAATTCCTATCTCAGTTCTTCTTTTTCATCCTTCCTATGATGTACTCTCATCTCGGTGGCTTATAAAAAGAAATGCATTCATGTTAGCACTAAGTGCACATGGTGTATGTATGTAGATATACATATGTTTAAAATAAAATAATATTTAAGAATGTCCACTAGGTTTGCTTCTTCCTCCCTGAGCACCTTGCAGAGCAGACTTGTGACATGCCACACTTGCTATAATTAGTTGATTAGAAGCTTTACAGAGAATGAATATGTTCTATGATACTCTTCGTTCCTTCTGTAAAATTGGGAATAGAACCAAAGTTTCACATCTGAACATTCTAAACAAGTGCTCTGCAGTGAGCTACACCTCTAGCTTATGTTTCTTCTGAGCATAGTTCAGTGAATCTTGGAAGTGATTAGCATTTGCCTGTTTTCTATCATAGCCGCAACTGTCATAATATATATTAAATCTATATTAAATTCCTTATTTATTAAGTACTGTTTTGTAAGACAGTCCCTTATAGAGCCTTCTTTACCTTTCAACACCACAGATGAAAAAACAATTTTTTTGAGGAAGCAATTTCTTTAATTTTATCGGAATCCAGGACAAACAAGAAAAACACCCAAAACCACATGGAGACAGAAGACAAGACACAACTCCTCCCCCCACCTCCCTGGCCCTGGAGTGGGGACATAGTGGGGGTGAGACGGGGGGGGGGGCTGAGGCGGGGGGGGGCTTGAACCTCAATCCAGCCCTGCAGGCTCCAGGCCTACAAGGAAGGGCCATGGGGAGGCAGGGCCCAACCCCCTGGGGGCGGGGCTAAGGGGAGGCCCTGAGGGACTCTACCTCCTCACCAACTCGCCTGCACGGGAGCAGGCAGCCCACAGTAGCAAGGGCCCCGGCCATGAACACATTCGTGACAGAGAAGCAGCTGCAGTGAGGCAGGAGAGACGCGATTATCCGGGCAGAATTACTGGGGTGGGGGGCCCATGAGGGCCCCACGGGCCAAACCCTGAGGTCGCAGGAGGGGGCCCAAAGCGGGGCTAGTGAGTGAGGTCCTGAGTGAGTGGGTCAGCAGCTGTAGGCCTCTCTCCCGCTGCCTACAGCCCCTCCAATACTGCTGCTGGGGCCCGCCTCCGGGGAAGTGGATAAGAGAGCAGCCCACCCCTGCTGCTGACTTTCAGATGACTGCGGCCAGCAGGAAGGCCTGGCCAGCCTCGGCCACCTGCCCCAGAGGCCTGTGGGAAGAGGACAGGGTGGGAAGAGAAGGGACGGGCTCGACCGGCTCAGATCCAAGATGGTGCGGCGCTTGCTGCTGCAATGAGAGCCAGCAACTAGTTAGACCGGAGGCAGGAGCTTCTCTAGAAATTCCTTTACAGCTGCCATCTCCTGAGGACAGGAGCTGTGCATGACACCTGGGTATGTCTTGAACTATGGACCCTGGCAGGTGTGACAACAGACAGGAGCTTCTCAGCCGTCAGGACCCCGAACCGAACAGGTACCATGGGATCCAGCTCCCCATGGCACTGAAGGATGGCCAGGTCCTTGGTGCTACCGTTGGCTGCCTGGGGAAAGTTCCGATGCAGAGGCAGCCAACACCTCAATGCCACGATGCCAGCCAAAGGGTGGGGGCAGGTAAGGGCTGTATACAGGGACAGGGCCCCGCCCTGCGAAAAGCCACCCAGGACGATTCGATTGGCAGGGATCCCGTTCTTCATCTCATGTTCAATCAAAGCCTTGATGTTCTCCGCTGCCTTCTTGATGCCAACTTCATCCTCTGGGGCGTCTGGACTCAGCTCCATCAGGTCAAACCAGGAAGGCATCACCATCTTCATGTTGAGTGTCACAGGGATTCTGGGCGCGTGGGGACAGATGTACTTGACATGAGGAAGCCGGATGGTGGAGAGGGTGTCAGCCCAGCTGTGCCCCGTGTCTCCAAATCCATGTAAAAAAATAACCGCGGCCGTTTCCCGCTCAGCTCCAGACACGGTGGCAGCGTCAGTGAGCAGGGGCACAGACATGGTGTTACCACACATACACTGCAGGGCTTCCTGCAGGCTGGGCCTCACTCCCAGGGGCTTCCGAGACCGTTCGGGCGATTCTTCCCTTTCTCCCACAGACGAAAAATTTAAAGATGTTAAAGGAAAGAAGTGTGAGTTTGAAGCAGTCAGTTAAGCAATTCATATTCTTAGTACACATAGCTTGGGTAACATATCATGAGGAGCATCATAACTTTATTCATCTGTCATCCTGTCACTCAAAGTAGCTAGGCTCCAGCCTCCGTGTTTCCCAACTGCTGCCTTGAAGCTACCATTGTGGACTCTAAACCTCTGAAAACATAAGCCCAAATATACTTTTTCTTTTGTAAGTTGCCTTGGTCATGGTGTTTTATTACAGCAATGGAAAGGTTATTAATACAGATGGACACAAGTAAAAAGCCTTCCATAGAGACCTTTTGTGGAGCCAAAATCAATACAACAGACAAAGCCGACATGGAAAGGTAGGGTGTGAAGTGTCCTCTATGCCAAACTGCATGCTCAAGTTGATTGTTTTAAACTAGAGTGAAATCAGGGTGGCTTTGTGGGGAGAGTAATAAAGACAAAAGGGGTTTTTGTTGTTCTCTGTTGAAAGAAATAGAGGTAAACTATTTAAAATTTGACTTCTTAGTTTATAAATACTCATATATTTCAGTCCCTGACATAAAAAAATGTGTCTGACAAGGAATAGTGATGCATGCCTGTAATCCCAGCACTCAAGGGACCAAGACAAGAGAATTTCTAAACTGGCTTCTGCTGCAGAAAGTCTTAAGCTATGAACTAGTGTTCACTGCTTTCTGCAAGCAACAGATTCCCTTTCTTGCACAGCACATTCTGCTGAACAGTGGGGGAAACACTGCCTCTAATTTTGAAGGACAAGCATGTGATTTTTGGGGTTTTTTTTGTCTTTTTTATTTAAATTAGAAACAAGCTTGTTTCACATGTCAATCCCAGTTCCCTCTCCCTCCCTTCCTCTCCTGCCCCCCACCAATCCCCTATCCCATCCCCCTTCTGCTCCCCAGGGAGGGTGAGGCCTTCCATGGGGGATCTTCAAAGTCTGTCATATCATTTGGAACAGGGCCTAGACCCTATCCCATGTGTCTAGGCTGAGAGAGTATCCTCTATGTGGAATGGGCTCCCAAAGTCCATTTGTACACTAGGAATAAGTACTGATCCAACACCAGAGGCTTCATAGAATGCTCAGGCCTCCTGCCGGGCGGTGGTGGCGCACGCCTTTAATCCCAGCACTCGGGAGGCAGAGGCAGACGGATCTCTGTGAGTTCGAGGCCGGGCTGGACCGACAGCCTCCAAAACAATACAGAGAAACCCTGTCTCGTAAAAAAAAAAAAAGACTGCTCAGGCCTCCTAACTGACACCCACATTCAGAGGGTCTGGGTTGGTCCTATGCTGATTTCCCAGCTATCCGTCTGCGGTCCATGAGCTCCCCCTTGTTCATGTCAGGTGTTTCTGAGGTTTCTCCAGCCTGGTCTTGACACCTTTGCTCATCACTCCTCTCTCTCAGCAACTGGATTCCAGGAGTTCAGCTCAGTGCTTAGCTGTGGGTGTCTACTTCTGCTTCCATCAGCTACTGGATGAAGGCTCTAGGATGGCATATAAGGCAGTCATCAATCTCATTATCAGGGAAGGCATTTAAGGTAACCTCTCCCCTATTGCTTAGATTGTTTGTTGGGGTCCAGATCTCTGGACATTTCCCTAGCGCCAGATTTCTCTTTAAACCTATAAGGGTTCTCTCTATTATGGTATCTCTTTTCTTTCTCTCCTCTATTCTCCCTCCCTACCCCCACCCACCCCCAAACTCAATCTTCCTGCTTCCTCATGTTCTCCTCCTTCCTCCTCTTCTCCCCTTCTCTTTCTCCTAACTCCCTCTCCCCTCCCCCATGCTCCCAATTTTCTCAGGAGATCTTGTCCCTTCCCCTTTTCCAGGGAACCATGTATATTTCTTTTAGGGTCGTCTTTGTTTCCTAGCTTCTCTGGCAGTGTAAGTCCTTTGACTTACAGAAGCTTCTCAGTTTCAGGAGGTCCCATTTATTAATTGTTGATCTCAGTGTCTGTGCTACTGGTGTTATGTTCAGGAAGCAGTCTCCTGTACCAATTCATTCAAGGATACCTCCCACTTTCTCTTCTAAGAGGTTCAGTGTGGCTGGATTTAGGTTGAGGTCTTTGATCCACTTGGACTTACATTTTGTCCTTGATGATAGATATGGATCCAGCTATGCCAGCACCATTTGTTGAAGATGCTTTCTTTTTTCCATTGTATAATTTTAGCTTTTTTGTCAAAAGTCAGGTGTTTGTAGGTATGTGGGTTAATATCAGGGTTTTCAATTTGATTCCATTAGTCTCAGTGTCTATTTTTGTGCCAATACCAAGCTGTTTATAGGACTATAGCTCTATAATAGAGCTTGAAGTGAGGGATGGGGTGTTGCCTCCAGAAGCTCCTTTATTGTGAGGATAAGCATTTGTAAGGAACTTTAGATCAGCCAGCACGAATTCAATCCTTACCCTGGGCCAGGCCCTGGCTTTCCCATTTACCAGTGAATGACAACTGCCAGAAACCTGCTTCAGCTTCCACAGGGGTTCAGGTCTGAAAGAGGATGTATGGAATGGGGGTGGGGGTGAGATGGACAAGAGCTAAGGGTGAATCAGGATGGCTGCCAACAGCATTTATTGAAAAAAGAATAAACCTTTTCCACTCTATAGTTGCACATAGGACTAAACCAGAGACAAGGGGCATGTGAGCTAGGTATGGCTGGAGATGAGGGATTGAAGAAGCTAGCACTGGCCTTAACAATAGGCACCAGTCATACGTTAATGAAGGGCCACAAATTAATCTTGCCAGAGATGAGAATAAGTGCTTTGACAAGCAGGAACTTTCCTCAAGCCCCTGAGGGAATGGAGGCCCTATCCAAATGCCTCACCTTGGGAAAACAACTTCTTCATACCAGACATTATTGCAAAGTTTCTGCACCTCTATAAACCTCTCCTCCGACACAACAATCCAAATCAAACCGTGTTTAATGGCTACAAGGCCTCCCCAGTGGCTTTTCAGTCCCCCAGAGAGAAGACTAAAAAGAGAGACAGGAAAACCAGGAGTCTGTTTTCTGGGGGATCAGTTAAATACCCTGTGTGCTTAGTCTTGAGCATCTCTGCTGGAGAGGTCATCATTTGGCGGGCATCAGGATTTGGAGAGAGCTAGGGGAGGGAGCTTCAGATGGAACTTCCACCAGAACATTCCAGACTCTTTGGGTATAGAGAAAGCAGGGGCTTGGGTGAAGCTTCCACCAAGACAATTATACTACAATTTAAGAGCAATTTTCATTCTCAAGGGGATAAGCATTGAGTTGTTCCTAATTGCGTCTTAGTCTTACTATATGGGCTTGTTCCCCTCATAACACTCCCAAAACGGAAGGTCCTGACGTCTTTCTCTTCTCCCACTATGCTGTAACAGTCTGATGTCTCTGCACTTATTAACTGAAATTTGTCCTTAGTGGCCACAGGCTCTGGATCTGACTTGTAGGCATTTCATTCTTGGGGTCAGCTGTGTCTAGTAAATCTCTAACTTTCCTGTTCTTGGTGTAATTAGGAGGGCACAATGGGATTCCTGGTTCTGAGGTGGCAGGGATTTTTTTTTCTGAAGAGTTATTTTATCTTCAAAGGCTGCCATTGTACACATTTTCATACTTTATCAAAACCCCAAAAAAATTTCCCAAAGGGAAAGACATTAATAGTGAGAATCATTAAAAATGGTGCTCACCTTTAATCCCAGGACTCAGGAGGCAGAGGCAGGGCAATCTCTGTGAGTTCGAGGCCAGCCTAGTCTACAGAGCTAGTTCTAGGACATTTGTCAAGCAGCAACGACAGCATGTGGTCCATGCCAGACAGCTCTGTGCACACCAGGAGTCTCTGTCCCAGGAGTCTGCAGATGGCAGGGCAGCTCAGTAGTCCATGATCTGAGTTCAAGTTTCCACTGTTGCTCTATCCTGACTCTGTTTCCAGGGTTTGTGATTGTATCTTAGGATCCTGGACAACTACTATTAAACCTTTCTAGGATTAAAGTTTCATGTTTAGAAAGTGAGAAAACAACAACAACATAAACCACCCTGAGCTTCTTTGAAGATATTTACACACTATAAAATGCCATGGAAACATCACCAGCACATGTCTGATGGAGAAGGCCCACTTGGAAGGTAGTGTTTGTGCTCTTGTAAAAACATGCTCTTCTAAAAACAAAGCAGGAATGTGTAACAGACATTCTTAAATGAGGACCAGAAAGCAGAGAAGAATTTTGACCTGAACTAGGTAAAATTCCATTTACATAGTCAGTGTGCACATAAATCTGCTATTTAGTTTTTATCTTAAATCCCATTTCTACTTTTCAAACAAATAAAAATATATTTAAAAATACAAATAAGTAACAGGCAGACTAATAAAATCATGGACTGTCACTTAAAAAGGCTAATGCATACTATTTAATTCTTAAAATTAATGAAAAATATAGATTTAAATATCAAAAGTACATACAGTATACAATGGAAGCATTTTTGCTGTAAAAGTTCCAATCCCTAGAATAGAAAATAAAGTAAAACATCTTTGACTCAACAAAATAGAAGAACATGAATAGGAAAATTTTAAAAGGAAAAAAATAAGACAATAGACTTTTTGCATGTTCTTTTATAACTTTTTATTTTTAATTCCAGGATTTTAAGCAGAGATTACTGTCTAGCAATTATTTTTCATTACTTTTTTACCTTCCAATCATAGTTCCTCTTCCCTCCTCTCCTCCTTCTCCTCCCATACCCCCCTCACCTCCCATCTGCTCCTTGAAGAGGGTAAGGCCTCCCTAGGAAGTCTATTAAGTCTGTCCCATCATCTCCTTGAGGCAGGACCAAGGCACCTCTCCACCCTCCACACCCCTATGTCTAGGCTGAGCAGGCCAGAAGAGAATGGAATTTTTTTAAAAACATGGACTTCGAATGGGTTTTTACTACATAAAAAGATTGTAAGTAATTGGATAAAAAGAAAATGTATCTCTAGAATTCTTAAGAGAAACCCACTTAAACTAAA